AAATATAAAAGATAAATTTAATTAATAATGATAATTTGAAAGATATCATGAGATCGTTGATGCAATTTGAAAATTTCAATAAGTTCTTAAATTTTTTCACCACATAAAATGTTATCACCTATTTTATATGAGTGCTGACACGCACGTGACATTTCATATTATAGTATAAAATATAATAAATAATGTGAACATAATATATATATAGTATAATTTAGGTATTAAATACATTACATCATATAGTTTCATTTTTTGCATAAGTTAGTGTGCATATAAGATCGATTTTACACGGTTATAAAATTATGTTTACGATATAAATCTCACTTCTTCTTCTACAGACCACTCTCTTTCATAGGTAAGATCTCCTCCTCCATTTTACTTATACGTGGGACCCGGCGGTGCATCACAGCTCACAGTGTTGCGCTGTTATGATCGTTAAAAGCAACCAGATCATCCCGTGCACATGCCGCGTGGAAGATAAATCGACGTGGAAGTTTCGCGAGTGTTGGGCATGATAAGTTCCCAAAACCGGAGGATTGGACAATCAAGTGATGTGAGTCGCGGTCAAAGCATAGCTGGAGCGTACACGTGTCTTGAATCTGATGGTGGAGATCGAGAGAGTTCGTAGCCGAAATAAAAGCTTTTAACATCTAAGCCGTCCGATTGGTGAAATGACCATCCAGCTCAGTTGGTAGAGCACAAGGTTCTTAATCTTGAGGTCGTGGATCGAGTCCACGGAGGGCATTTCATAATTCGGAGGTCTCTTACGGAAGCTACTCTCAACCTGATGTTGGGGGTAGTCTACTATCTTACCTCCCCCTTACCCTATATATATAGGAAAAAAGAACAGCTATTTTTTTAGATAAAAATAATATATTTATTTATTTTGAACATGTGAGCCAGAAAAGTCAAGAAAGTTTTGGGGGAGAGAGAATGATGAATTGTGGTATTTTCAATCTAATCAATGGACATGTCCGTAGCCAAATTATTGTGCATTAATAATTTTATCAATTAGGAAAATGATGAACAATTGAAAGTGTAATGTATTTTGTGATAAATTTTATAAAATATATATTTAAAAATCATTTAATTGAAAGTTTTAAAATGTACTTTTCATACTTTACTAAAAAAAATTTAAATAATATTGAATCAAAGTTGAAAATTTTTTATAGGAAAAAGTCAATAAGAACATATTTAATGGGATAAAAAGAGTATATTATTTCTAATTTATTAGAAAAACTAGGAGATATATTTTAAGGTATAATGATAAAATTTTCTCTCAAAATTTATACATATGGTCATTTTACCCTATATTTTATTTTTGGAGTATTTTAATCTTAAATGTTTTAATTTTTTTGTTAAACATACTATATTGGATGGAAACTGTTAGTTAATTAACGGTCAATTCATGTTGTTGACATGACATATTCACATGTATTCAATTACTAACGTAACACATGTCACATCATCAATTTTAGTTGATTGTTCATCAACTAACGATTTTTATCAACATGATCAATTTTGACCAAAATTAAAATGTTGCTAAAATGCTCCAATGAAAAGAATATGGAGAAGCATATTATATAGTTGCATATATTATGTATTATAGTGTATTAAATAATAATTGCATGTTACTAATTCATGTGGTATTGCATGTTATTAATTCATGTTGCATTGCATGTTACATTGGGTGTTAAATAATTAGTATGTCACATTGCATATTATATGGTTCATAAATAGTAGTACATGTCATTAATTTCATTTGCATAATTAGTATTTTAGTTGCATGTTAGGTTAATCCACATTAATAGCCCATTTATTTTGTTGTTATGAATAAGTAATAATAAAACCAAAAAATAAGTCCATTTGCATTAGTGCTAGTCCATTTACATTAGTTTACATATGCCCAGTACATAAGCCCACTCTTTTATTACAAATATATGTGCATTACTAAATAAAAACAAAAAACAAAAAAAGACCCTAATCTAATGTGTATTGATTTTATGATTTAGGGTTTAGGATTTCTATAAACTATATATTTTATTACTTTATATAGTTTATGCATAGTATTTCTATAAACTATATAAGTAATTTACTTTATATATATACTATGCATAGTTTATACATACATGTACTATAAGTTACATATATAGTTAAGGGATTAGGTTTAGAGTTAAAGGTTTACGATTTAGGGTTTATGGTTTTTATAAACTATATACTTTATTACTTTATATAGTTTATGCATAGTGTTTATATATATATATATATACTATATTAATATAATTTATAATTTATAAACTATATAGTTTATATATTTTATATAGTTTATATACCTACATACATATATATATATATATATATATATATAGAAAATTAAAAGTAATTAGAATGTATACATGATTAAATTGCATCGAATTGAAAATTTAAGAAGATATTTACAATTAAACCATGACTAAAATAAAAGAAATCAAAAATCAAATACAAGTGGAAAAATGATGATTGTTGGAGGAGCATGAGCCTAACTAACCCAAAATTTCTTGTTGGACATTATCATTGGTGCCAACTTCCCAAAATTTTCTATTCCCTCTAAATTTCTCAATTTCCCTCTAAATTCCCAAATAAAATCAAAATTTTTCACACAAAAAAATCTTTCTTTTAAAAATTTTCTCCCACCACTCACTTTGAATAATATATATATATATATATATATATATATAAATTATAGTTTATACATATATAGTTTATATATATAGTTCATATAAACATAATTTATATATATAGCTTATAATAATTATATAGTTTATATATAAACTTATATTATATATATATATATTTTTTAATTTTTTAAATGAATGCAATTTATTATATTTTTAATTATTTCTTCATATTTTGCATTTATTTCGATTTCATCTTTTTTGTTTTTTAATTTATTTCAATTTTGAGTCTTTCACTTTTATATGTATTCAATTTAGTCCTTAAATTTATATTTGCATCTTCATTTGACCAATTGTTAGTTGTTATTTATATTTTTGTAACTGGCCCATAACTTTTTAAATGAGTATAATTTAGTCCTTTTTATATTAATTTAAACCTCACATTTTAAATTTATTTCGATTTGGTCCCTTACCTATGTGTGTTGTTTAATTTATATTTTAAAATTTTATTTGTAATTTTACATTTCTTTAATTTTGTCCTTAAATTTATATTTTTTACAAAATTGTCCATGATTTTTTTGTAATTTACTCGAAATCATATACAATTACAACTTGGAATTCAACAAGCACGAAAAATGACAAAATAATTAATCTAAAAATAAAAACAACCCGACCTGAACTCAATCTGTATCCGGTAAACATCCGACCTGAATTTATCTGTCAATGATGTGACCCTATATGAACGAGATCGACTAAAGTCCATTTGAACCTGAATTAACCTGGTTTTTATCTGCTTCAGACCTGAACTGTTTTGACTTAAACTGACATCGATCCGAACTGAAAATGACTTGACCTGAACCCGACTTAATCTGAGTCAAACTATCAAATTGACTTATACCCAATTCTACCCAACCTGCCAAGATCTGACTGAAACCTTTCCGATTACATGATTTTACAGCCTTATGTCAAGTGGGTAACTTTTTAGTTTTAAAATACCATGTCAATGAAGCTAACAACTATTTTTAAATGGGATTAAGGATGTGATTTGCATTTTTAAACTACCAGGGTGTGTTTGGTTCGCTGTATCTTACATTACTAAGGGGAATGTTTTTTTTTTCCAGAATTATATTCCCACGTTGGGTTCACGGAATCTTACATTATCGGGAATACTCTTTTCCCAATAGTAGCATTTTTTGGTTAAAATGGTGGGACTGTTATTACCTCCAAATTCTTAAGTAATCTTACATTCCCACCACTTTAGACAAAAATACCCTTGGACTAATGAATTCTTTTTATAATGATCCTTCTAAATTCTTATTTTTTATACTTTACCCAAAATTATAAAAATAATAATATACAAAGAGTTTGATTTACTAAAATATTAATAATTTTGAGAATTTAAAATAGTTTATATTTTTAATATTCAATATTTTGTTATTTATAATTTTATGAGATGAAAAAAATAATATTATTGTAAAAATGTAATTATTTATAATAATATTTGACTACCAAAATATTATTTTGTATATTATATTATATTTTATATAAACAAATATTATACTTATGAACTTTATTTAAAAATATAAATTTAATATACTAATTATATTAATTATATGTTAAATGTAATTTGTCCTCAAAAGTTAGATATATAACGATTAAAATATTTTTATGAATTTTATTCAAATATTTATAAATTAATATTAAAGTTTAATTTAAAAAATATATATCACAAGGATTATTTGGTAAAATATGCATCCAAGTAATCTTATATTCCTCCAACCAAACACTATAATCTTACATTCCTGCTAATCATACCAAACAAGGTAATACAATATTCCCATAGTAAAGTTACATTCCAGTAATGTTATTCCCAAAGATAATCTTACATTCCGTGAACCAAACGTTTCCTAAAGTAAACGGGCCAAAATTACGAAGATCATAAAGCATATTTTACCCACTTTTAAAATATGGCCTTGTACACAACTACACAAGTAAAGACTAAAATTGAGAAATAAACTTATGAAATTTAGATAACTTGTAAAATTTTAAGAGATATAAAAATATTAAATACATAAAAATTTAATTTTTATTTGATAAGGTTTTATTTGGATGAAGATCAGAATTAGAGTATAGTGATTAAATCATAACGTTTGCATGGTATAATGACTAACAGAACATTTGACAAATAATAATTCATTAGTCAATAATGGCCCAAAGAAGCCTGCATGGCATTGTTGGGCAAAAATCCATTAACCAGAATTAGCCCGGAAAGGAGCCGAAGTACCTAGGGTTGTTGTTGGCTTGGCTTGCAGCGTTAATGTTGAGTTGCAGCAGCAGCAAGCACTCTGCACTCAAAATCTCAATCTACCCTCATTTTCAAGCCGCAAAAGCAATTTCCATGGCTTTAACCAAGCCAAGATTTGGAGGCTTTCCATCCTCTTTCTCTATGCGATTCTTCAAATTTACTCTTCTTCATGGCTAACCCCCAAAAAAGAAGTTGAAACCGGCGGCACTGATACGATCGAAAAGCCCCTAGCCGCCGCCCTTTCACCCGGGGAAACCCGTATCGCCGAACAATTTCGTTCCTTAATCAAATAGCACCACCGCAAAAACCCAACCCGGATCCAAACTCGACACCACCAACCCCAAGCTTCATCATCCCTTCTCTATCCCTCGACTTCTCCAACATCTCCACTGTCCATCCTATCTCCCCTTCGTCGTACGCTACGTCATCGACAGGTGTTGTGGAGTTCGCCATGGCATACCTTTCCTCCAAACATTGTCTTTCTTTAATTGGGCCACCACCCGATCCGATTTTGTTCAAACTCCCGACCCGTACAACGAAATGATCGACCTTGCTGGAAAGTTGAGGCATTTCGACTTGGCTTGGCATTTCATCGATCAGATGAAAGCCAATAGCGTCAGCGTCTCACTTGAAACCTTCGCGATTCTAATCAGGCGTTACGCGAAGGTCGGATTGGCTGCAGAGGTTGTGGACGCGTTTAATCGCATGGAGGATTACGGGTGTTGTCCTGATAAGATCGCGTTTTCGGTTTTGATTAGTATTTTATGCAGAAAAAGAAGGGCCGATGAAGCTCAAACTTTTTTCCATAAATTGAAGGACAAGTTTGAACCTGATGTGATTATGTACACCAACTTGTTTAACGGCTGGTGTACGGCTCGTAATATTTCAGAGGCCGAAAGGGTATTTAAAGAAATGAAAATGGCAGGGATTAAGCCTAATGCGTATAGCTATACTATTGTGATTGATGCATTGTGTAGATGTGGCCAAATTACTCGTGCTTATGATGTTTTTGCTGAGATGGTCAATGTAGGTTGTGAGCCAAATGCGATTACTTTTAATATTTTATGAGGGTTCATGTCAAGGTCGATCGCACCGAGAAGGTTTTGCAGGTTTACAATCTGATGAAAAGACTCGGTTGTATTGTTGATACGGTAACTTATAACTTTCTCATAGAGAGTCATTGTAGGGATGATAATCTTGATGAGGTTGTTAAAGTGCTTAATTTGATGCTAAAGAAAGGGTGTGCATTGAATTCGTCTACTTTCAATACCATTTTTAAGTGTATCGATAAGTTAAGGATGTTGTCGTAACCGTTTTTTGCCCGGACGGGAAAAATTTCGCACGACTTGGGGGTTTTCTTTTGAAAAGGTTTTGAAATGTTTTAGAGTCGACATCGACCTTTTAGGTTATGTAGGTCAAATACCTAAAAAAATTTTTTAAAAAGATTTTTAAGAAAAACATCATTTTAAAATATTTTTTTTAAATAAAAAAAGAGATTTGGGGATCGATTACGTGTGGGAAATGATAAGCACCCCCACAACGCCCAAAATTGGTTCCTATCGATTATAAATTGTCTCTACTAGTGGAAATCTAAGAATTCGAATACAAATTTAAGTTACGATTCTATTATTCAAAATTCAACCATGAAATTTGTATTTAACGAGAAATTATAAGGGGAAATAGAAAATATTTCCATATTTTCAATCGAAGAGAAAATAATCCTTAAAATACTTTTGGACGAATATTTCTCTTTCCGACTGAAATAAAAAAATATAATAATTTCCCCCAAGAATCCGAGATTAAAATAATTTGATTCGATAAAATGAAAATTTAAGCCAATTAATCCAAATAACACATTTAATTAAAAAAGATAAGAGATGTTCAATTATTTAAAAATATCAAGCATAATCCCTAATAAAATTAGGCGAATTATCTCGATAAGTTTAAATAAAAGAACATTTCCTTTTCTCTTTAATCTAGTAGGGTATTTATTTATTTTAAAATATCAAAACATGACATCTAGTTACTTTAAGACGGTCATTTCTTAATATTTTTTAAAATAAATAAATAATACCTTTAATTTAATTATGAAATCAGTTGAATTATGCTTATGAGGCTTCCAAATATATTCGAAATGTTTAGATCTAGATGTACAAACAAATTTACATGGCAAAAGCTAAAAATTAAAAATACTAATTAGGAACAAATAAATGGAAATTAAAGCAAAGAAAAAAATTAAATGATATTCAATGCTGGAAATGAAATTGGACTAAATTAACAAGTGCATACTTTAAAGCATAAATATTACGTTAAATAAGAAAACAAAATATAATTACTAAAATGAACATTACAAAAATTAAAGTTCTAAATAATAAAATTAAATAATAAATACAAAAATGAACATTACAAATGTAAATAAAGAAATTAAAGTACTTAAGTTAAAAAAACATAAAATTGTACATTCACCTAAATTATAACTAATAAAATATAAAACATATGCATCACTTAAAATACATACTACAAATTTTACAAGCCAAATATAATGTATAATACATTACACCACAACTAGAATCTAAAATAGAATATTACAAATTATATGCCAAATGAGAAATAAAAAAGTGACTAAAATGAATAAATTATAAATATTACATCCACATCATAATAACATAGGAAACAAAATCCAAACAGTGACTAAAATGAATAAACATAAAAAACAACGACTGAATTCGAAAGTTAATAAAATCAATATGTATATTCGAAATAAATAACAAAGTACATGGCCAAAATGAAAAATAAGCTAAAATATGAGGAGCTTAAAGATGATTTTACCCATATAGTGACCAAAAAGTAAAACATGCTGAAACTGGAGGATATGGACTGCGATTTGACCCTGAAACACAAAGCAAAAAAGAGCTAAATTTACCCATTTTCTATACACACAAAATATCACCCCCCATGTTTACGTAAATTGCAGGAAGCTTATTAAAGCTTCAAACATCTCATACGGCCATCGCCCGCCGGCCCTCCCAAGCTGAAAACCGGGACGGAAACCACCCTAAACCACCGGTGACCTCGGCCATGAACGGAGAAGAACCGTCCAACTCTTAAAAGGCCGAGACTTCCCCCTCCTAACCTCACACTCTCTCGTTCTTTCTTTTCCCTTTCTCCTCCCCATTCGGCATCCGAGAGGGCTAAAAAATGAGCCCCAACGTCGCCACCACTCTTGTCTACTCAACGTCGAACACTCGAACTACGAAGCAAAGATCCCGATGAAGGAAAAAAGAAAAAACTAGAAATAACAAAGAAGAAAGAAAGCAAAATGGAGAGCAAGCACAAAGTCAAAGAAGATATCTTTTCATTCCCTAATTTCGGGGATAGAGGAGTCTGATGTTACAAGGGTTGGTTGGGGTATTAATAACCCTAACCACTACATTTTAATATTGTTTTTTACATAATAAAATAAAATAGAAATGGGAAAAATGGTGTTTACAGCTTCCCCTCTTTATTCGTTGTTGTGAAACAGGAATAGAGCAAAGATAGTAAGCACCATTTTTTATCTAGCCTAAATTGCTAAAACCTTGAACTCCAATTTCTTCTGATCGGGCGAGTTATTCTCATTATGAACTCTTCGCTGGGGATGTCAATCCACTTCCTTCTGTGATGGAATCACCAAGGTTGAACAAGTTCTTCTTATTATGAACTTTTTCTCCCTTATCGGATGAATTCTTCTCATTATGAACTTTCCACTGGAAATGTTGATTTACCTTCTTCTGTGATGACATCGAACAAAGTTGAACAAGTTCTTCTCATTATGAACTTCTTCTCGCTCGTTGGATTGGTTCTTCTCATTATAAACCCTTTTATTGAAATATTGGTCCACCTCATTCTATGATAGAAAAAGCTAAGGTTTAACAAGTTATTCTTATTATAAACTTCTTCTCCTTTATCGGATGAGTTATTCTCATTACGAACTCTCCACTAGAAAAGTTAATCCCTCAAGCAAGGTGTTACTGACTCGAATTGTTGTGAATCGAGCAATAGGTCGAACAAGCTCTTCTCATTATGAACTTATTCTCCATCTGTCAGATGAGTTCTTCTCATTATGAACTCTCCATCTGAAATGTCATTCCCTCAAGTGAGGCGTCACTGATTCAAAATGTCGTGAATTAAGTGATAGGTCGAACAAGCTCTTCTCATTATGAACTTCTTCCCCCTTTGTCAGATGAGTTCTTCTCATTATGAACTTTCCACTGGAAATGTTGATCCCTCGAGTAAGGTGTTGCTGATTCAACTCCATATGCGGTGAATCGAGCTAAGGTTGAACAAGTTCTTCTCATTATGAACTTCTTCTCCCTCATTGGATTAGTTCTTCTCATTATGAACTCTCCATCTGAAATGTCATTCCCTTAAGCGAGGCATCACTGATTCGAAATGCCGTGAATCAAGTGATAGGTAGAGCAAGTTCTTCTCATTATGAACTTTTTCTCCCTTTTTCGGATGAGTTCTTCTCATTATGAACTTTCCACTGGAAATATTGATCCCTCGAGTGAGGTGTTTCTGATTCAACTCCATATGCGATGAATCGAGCTAAGGTTGAACGAGTTCTTCTCATTATGAACTTCTTCTCCCTCATCGGATAAGTTCTTCTCATTATAAACTCTCATTGGAAATGTTGATTGGTTTACCCTTCCTTTGAAGAGTTTTAAACCTACAAAAGATTACCATGTGTCAGTAATAATTGTGTTTGAAGTACCAGAAGGTATATACCCAAAGGTCCTCGAATTTTATTGAGATCCATGTATTTCAATGGCGAAAAATATGGATTAATTCTCTGCTGAAGTCGTGAAATGAAATCTTTATTGGCTATTTGAATTCCTTAATGTAGCAAATTGCTGAGTTTTTGTCTTTGTTGGGCCCATCTTGGAAACAACACTGTTCATTCGCATTGAAGTGACCTGGGTAACATGCCCCACTTTAAAAATGATTATTGTTCTATGTATTGAGTTCCTCAATTCCTGAGTTTCTTCCATTATTAATGTAATTCCCTCCATTTGAGGCTTGAATTCTGATTTTTCTTCTCTTTCTCTTATTTCCTTGGAAAATCTGTAAGAATTATGCATGCATGTATGTATGTATGTATGTATAAATGCACTTAAATGAATCTAAATATATTGTATGAATTTCTTGTATGCAGAAATGTTAATTATTCATCTTCTCGCTCCAAAGTGAAGATCTCGATCCTCCTTCACTTGATCTCTCTTGTATGGAGTCTTCCTCAATGGCAACTTATCAGCTTAAGCTTGCATCTTCCGAAGAGAAATCTAATTATCTTGTGCAATCATGTATTTTCTATCCTCTATCTTTGGTTTCTTCGTTACAGTCTTTGAAGTACTCTCATGAATTCAATATGTGGTCTCAATACCTCTTTTGGCTCTAATTCAATGGTTCTATTCGAAACGTTTCGAGGTAAACTCTTTGTGTCTTCATATTCTTCCCTTGGCATTCCAAACGGTTAGACTCATTCACCATGTCTGTTTGATTTGAATCTTGTTATCTCAGCGAGATCTGGCTTTAGTAATGCCCCCATGTGGGTACTCATGGCTCTCTTTGTGCCAAGATCTTAATCTCGAATGGTCTCACTCTGGTGTCGCTAACTAGCAATCATATGCCATCAACAGAAATGTTATCGAATAATTTAAAGGCCTCTCTTCATGATGCCACAATCAGATGAAAACTTAAGAAATGATCAATTCTTGTAACAGAAATGTCTTGAACCTTTGTAATTAGCTGAGATATGTGTCTTCTTCAACTAAGGTATCATCTGCTTCTTGACAACGTCACAATGAATTATTAGAAGTTCAGTCCTTCAGTCCTTCTGATCTCTCAGATTATTTGTTTTTAAGAAATGCTTCATTGTTATGGAATTATTTGCTTTTTTCTTCGATAAAGGCATAATAAGCCTGATCATAAGCTTCAATGACCTTTTTCACTTGAGATTGTCCTGTTTGAAAATGTTTCTCTTATTTTATTTTAGAAATGTGAAAAAAATTGATGGATAAATTTAAAAATGTTGTTATTTTCTTTAGGCTCACAATCAAAACAAATTGTAAAACAAGAGTTCATTGAATATCAAATAAGTCAAATTTTCTTTTAATCCTTCAAAAATTATATACATTTGCAAAGTGTAAAGATTAATGTTGATATAAAGCTTAGGCTGACTTGGGTAGGTAATGTG